GACGCACATTCATCAGACGATACGCGGAATTGCTTCCACTTCGCGCCTGTCTTCTGTGTGCTCGTGGTATTTCACCGGGCGAGCCGGGCTAATTCTTGCGAAGATGTTAAAGCGGGCTCTACCACTGTTAAATGTGATGTGGGAATCAAACTTTTGATGTGAAAATCAAAACGTTTCTTTTATCTTATTAGCTTTGTTTAAAAAGTTCTTTACAAAACATTGGTTAACGGTTAAAAACATCACACTGGGTCAAACCACCGCACGCTAGGACGTCCACCCCAATCGGCCAAAGATCTACAAAATTACGTGACACAGCAAAAGGTTCACATAAAGCGTCACAGTCACGCGATTTATGTAATAACTTGACCTGAATCAGACTGCAAGTGCAAACTGTTCAACACTCGACGTTCGACGACCGGGGAACAACCGCGCAATCTTTCTTATAAAGCTTTTTATTGAAGCTTTCTTAGTTATTACTTCACCAGAACTTTTACGCCACTTAAGCTTTTAACGCAAATGCATCCAAGCCCGAATTATTGGTATTTTTCACACGCATTTTAAACTTTTCATTGTAATGAAGAATAATGAAAAGTGTTTTTGATATTAACGAAACATTTTAAGGCCATCATTTTCACATTGTAATCTGGTTTATCTCATCTTGCCCCAACATTACACTATTGCTCTCACATGTATCCCGATATGGATTAAGGTGTAAAATTTTCGCTGTAGGCAAAACAACCAGCACAGAGGTGTGTGACGCTAACCTATCATTACAACGCCCAGGTACAGTTCCCAGCGAAGTCTGTTATTAGACACGCACCGTATCCACATTTTAATGGTAAAACTTTACAGATAGTATTTATCGTAACTAAAACATAAACATCCAATAGCAATCTTATTCATATGTCGTTAAGGATACTTTTAAAATACTTTAATTCTATACTAATTATAAAGAGGAAAGATTTGATTGTTTGTTAGTTTGCGTTGTATAAGCTTCATAATTACTGAACCGATTTGAAAAAAATCTTTCACTGTTCGGAAGCTACACTATCCACTGGTGACACGGGCTATCATTATAACTATATATAAGTTTTAATCCCGTATACTAAATTGTGGGCCACTGCTAGTTATAAATAAAAATAAAATTGTCACCAAAACTAACCATATTTCACACGTATTTTCTGTCCGTGATTAGAATCCGAATACAAACACTAAGATGTAAAACACCGGAGATTACGAGCCAGTCGCTAAACATACAATAACTTACCGCGCCCGTGTGAAAGCGGTTGCTCGTTAAACAAAAAAGAAGTACTACAGTAGCGACTTCGAGTAAGACACTACGCCATAGTGTACATATGTTAGACAGTGTTACAACTACATTTAAGATACCCATCTCCCTATCCTTGCCTTGATCAGGTGAACATTCTTATGGAATTTTATCAACTCATTTACCATTATGGCAGTACTAGATGTCACGCGCGAGTCTGTCTGAGAATTAAAAAAAAACTTAATTAGTAGCCTATGTGTACATCTGTGTCAACCAAATTTCATCAAGATCGTTGAGCCATCCATTCAGACTTCCGCATTTATACTATTAGTAAGATAGTTTAAAGATTGAAAAATTGTCAATAAAGTATAGGGGCAAAATAAAAACTACTCTCAAAAGGGATCTACTTACAACTTACATAGTAAAAAAGATAATAAAAACCTTTAAGTGAAGTATTAAGTGAATAATGATCACTTAACAATTAACTTTATTTATTATTAAATTAACCAAATGTTTTGATATTACAAGTTATACAGCTGTAGTTCTCTACACTGTGTCATCAGAATAGATTTTCTCGTACATGGAAAGTATTCAATGATGTTGACAGGAAAGAAGCTTCACTTTCCACTCCATTAATTTGACAATAATGACTAGTCATTACTGAACGTCGGCTCTTAATAATTTAAAATAACTATTGCTACGATTCACACGCTTTAATTTCATTATCAATCCAACGTATTACTTTTAATAGAGTACTTAAAACAGTTTTAACCTTAAAAGACGACGGAAAATATGAGGGATGGAAATAGCGGTTGAATTAAGATGAATTTTGGAATTTATATAATAAAATTAAAAGACAAAATGAAAATATAAAGTAGAATTATGAAAGTGAAGAGAAAAGCACGCACTGTTAAAGGATATATTTACAACTGATATAAAATACAGACGAAAAAGGAAGAAAAAATACGATATGTTCTAAATACAAAAATATAAAAATTATGATAAAAAAAACGTGTAAAGAGGTTCCGTATCTGTCGGCAACAACCTTGATTGTCCTTTGTCGTAAGAGGAACAAAATCATATATTTCTAATATCATAAATGCGAAAGATTAGATAGATGGATGGATGATTTTTTGAAGGTATTTCCAGAACAGCTTTACGGATATATATGAAATTTGGCATAGTTCTAGAACACAATCCGGAAGAACACATAGGCTACTTATTAGGTTTTTTAATTCCGCGCGGACGAAGTCGCGGGTGATAGCTAGTAAATAAATATAATAAAAGGAGACGAGGTGTTATACTCCAATAATTGATTATATACTCAAATACACATAATGCGGTGTATGTGTGTGTTAAACTAACTACATACCTACGTTTGGTTTCTAAAATCAAAATCTCTGTATAAATATATATCGAAATCATTAATACAACATGTTTTAAACTGGGATTTTTGTCTCGGAAACCAACGGTAAGCCTATTGACTATCGTATAAAAACATTATACATAAGAACAGGTTAGTTATACAAGACCAGATACGACAATGTTCACGTTATTTTTTCTTCGGAATAATTTCTTTGGCGATCTTTACAAGGCCATGTGTTACAACTTAACGTTTCTTAAGGAGTGTTATTTTCTAGGACCGATATAAATATAACTCCCTGTATAATGAATTATCTATTACAAGTGATTTAGGTTGATAATGGCTTGTCAAATGATACAACGTGCTGTATAAGATTGATCGAAGTGGTTTCCTGTGCCTTTGGAGACCGGCTTTCCATTGATCTCTTTACTTACCTACTGGTTTAGAATGCTAATTTTATTTTGCGTCCTTATTAATGTTATTACTGTGGAATAGAGTCTACATTCGCTTGTGTATATGAGAAATGTTTTGTTTATTGCGTGTGGTCTTTTGATGTGCCTGCTACTATCTTGGGGAGTAAATAAAATTATGAAGCCTGTTTGAGAGATAAAATTATATACTAAGATGAACGCCTATGTTATTTTTTGGATAATATGAACGCAAAATGAATATTTTTATTTGTGGTTAATAAATCTATATTTTGTGTTTAGTCCAGCAAAGGATAAAATAGTTTTTGTATCGATATTATAAGTCTTATAAATTATACGATTAACCTACAATTTAACTTAAACTCCAATTAAATTACAGAGGGGACTTGACAAGACTAATAGAACGCCTTGCCAAGTAAACTATACGACGAATTCATCCGTTGACCGTAAAACCGCAATGCAGTGCATTTTGCGGACAACACTGCATCATGTTAAAAGCTTAATCCACAGAAACGAAACAATATAGACTAGTTATTTTTTTAAATAACTACGAGAATATTTAACCAAAATTTTATATGCTTGTATTCATAAAACTTGCATCTTTAATAAAATTTGTAGCAGTGATTCCGTCAGCCCGGTATTGTAAAATAAACGTAATAAGTAGTCTATGTGTTCTTCCAGACTAAATTCTACATCTATGCCTTTCAGCGAGATCCATGCAGATTAGGAGATACCTTATGGCAGATATTCAAACATTCGCACTTATAATATTAGTAAGGTTAACTGAGATAGTATATGTTTATATGTAAATAACAAAAACATTAGTAATGACCTTTCTATCGATGTTTTGTAGCGGATTTGTAGATTTGTAAACGATATTTATTTATGTCGGTCAATGAATGGAAAACATCGAAACTAATCGGTCAACTATGTCTCGGTCGAGGTAAACAATCGAACTTTTATTGTGATATTCGTGTCCGTTGTCCGAATGGTTGTCGATATTTAATACGATCGGACACCGTTATGTTTGCCTAAAACAAATCGGCGGAGTCACGAAGCCGTGAGACTGGATTGACCGCAGAGACCTCTGACGGTCAGGTAACTCAATGTCATATTTGTAAACGGTTAAACACTTTATTTTCGATTAGTTTTTTCACTATTCGATTAAGCTGAAAGTTCCATAATTTAAAAATTCGATTAACAATCCAATTTTTTTTTAATTTCCTACAAAACTACAAGTCGCGAATTCTTATTTATTGCAATGGTCTGTATGCATGTTATTACGAAGCCGCATAGCTCATTTCCGAGTTTAATCAGGCTTGCAATTTTTAGTCCGAAAATGTTACATGAATTTTCGCAGCGTAGTCAATACAATGTTATAATATTGCGGCATTGAATCAGGCCACTGCAGACTCGTCCCACATTCCGTTTTATTCAAGAGCGTCGCGTCTGCAGGATTATGGTCTCTATCTACCGGAGACCGGCTGGTGTTTAGTGAATTGTTCCCTGGAGCGTTGACTTCTCAGCTATTATGAATACGCCGCAAGGGAATCCTTTTTGGCGGAAGTTTGCGTTTGTTTTAAGATTTAAATTAGGGATTTGTGACGGAATAGACCGACTTGTACTATTTTTAGCTAGCTCTTGATACATTATTTAGATAGTTTATCAAACTTAAATAATGAAGAAATAAAAAAATGCATCTTTATAGTTAACGTCCTCAACCAAATAATGTAGTTTTGCAAAATAAGCTTATTTTGTTTTGCATAGTTTGCTTGTTGCGGCGAATTATAGATAACGTAAGGAACAAGCCTGCTATTTGATTTAACAAAAGTGTATTATACGCGAACGAGATTAGATGTCATCCAATCCAAATACATAGCACACTTTAATATAATTTGGAAATTTCCTTCTCTACACTTCCTTAGTAAACAATTAAACTCACCACCGCAGATAACGTCAGCAAGGTTGGTCTGCACGCACTGGTGTGTGACAGCGCCGTCGCGGACCGTCGTAATCTCCCCGTATAGTTGGTGCAGCGCCTCCTGGTCCGACATCAGCATCGTCCTAGGCGACGAGCACTCGTCCTCGCCGTGCTGGTTCCTCGATGAAGACCGCGACCGCGACCGCCGTCGTCTGAGGAAATATTACTGACTATTAGTTTAAAAAGTAGGAAGAATATAAACATTCAAATTAGATAATGATAGAAGGCCGCAAAAAGTTAGAAACTAAAGGCGTAATGTTTCAAAACAAAGCAAAACCAGCCAAAACGTTATAATAGTTACGTTCACGAAAACTTTCTCATAGCTGTAAACTAAGTTTAACTGTGTCTAGACTTTTAAATAATTGTATCCAGACTGATAATGCAATTAAGCTACAAATGACCCATTAGATGAAACTGTTGCAGACGTGATTGTCTACAGGCTGTCTAGACGGCCGTGTGGCCAGAGATTAAATTACTAAGGGGTGTCTGATGGGAACAATCTCCATTAATGCGAAACATCTGCGTACCGCACTCGAGTCTCGGCTGTCTACTGTTTTATAACATGCTCTTACTCAATATACACAAAATATTGCACTCATATATTTTGGTAGAATAAACTTGATAAGTATTTTATAACATTGCTTGATTTTGATATAATAAACACATTGCCAACTTAAAGATCGACAAGGCTATCTGAACCGGTGGGCATAAGTCAAAATAAATTACAACAGCTAACTAGCGCCCTCCTGTTCAATATCAAAAGTATCACACGATATTTTTCGTACTGTAGCTCTCATGACATGTTTTCCTTCAATGTGTTTTTGTATTTCTAATTAGCTTTTATATATATTCTGAAAGTACCAACCGCGATAGTAGCGCCTTTCTCACCGGTTCAGATATTCTTGCTTGAGTTTTCAATGCACAGTTTTGATCATAAAGTCAACAAATGTCGTAAATTTCATTTACTTGGCTTCCTATATAGTAGTTGTACTAATAAACTTGCAGGATGGCATAAAATTAGCATACGGTCGACATTGCAGTTGAATTCCGCATCACGACGACTTACTTTTAGGATGCTAAGAGCCACTCAATCTCCATTTATACAAAGTTAATGAGGTTCGAAGGCCATTTACTTCGTTTACTTCTAGTTTGGCTTACATCAAACTTACTATTGATGTGATCGAGAAAACTAATGGAATAAATTTAATTTTGTATTCATACTTGTCATGAAATATGAACTTTTGCAACATACCATGATTTTACTTTGTTACATTTAAATTACGATAGTTTGATTATCAGAAATACGGTGAAATCTAGTGGGTAGTGGTAGTAAAATATAGTGTCCAATCACAATGACATTTCAGAGGATTTGAAGACAAAACAAACATCTCATGACGTTACATAATTCTAAAAAAGGGAAAGAAACAGTGCGAAGTGTACTTAACGTAACAATTATCATTTCTCTCGTTTACTAAAAACCTATTTTCTGCACTTTCAAGTTCGTTTAATATTCATGACATGTACATTCAAAATGTATGCCTATTATTTTGAACTCTAACTTCTATACATTAAGTTCAAAGTAGAATGAACTATTAAAATTTTGGTCCTTTGGAACCGGATTTTGTTTCAAGTGAAGCGGCTCCCATGGTTTTTGTGGGCACAGTCAGCTGTCACTCATTATAACACAAGTGTCATCTACGCCTGTTCTTGCGACGACACAGGTGACGATAAACAGCCTGTGTTCATATAAACACAAACAAAGGCAATCTTTCGTATTTTTTGCCAACTTTGCGTGTGGCGCAAATCGTTTTTTTATCAAAGAAAGTATTTATTTTTTATTTTTATACATTGTACTTGTTAAATGGAACAGAAATATTATAGTCCATGTGTGTACTTATTAACTTAAATTGCATAGAATAGACTTTTTATACTTTACTCTATTAAGTTTTGTCTTCATTTTTTTTAAGAAAAGTTTATAAAGTAATTGTAAATAACTCCACCTCCGCTTTACTTAATTACTAAAGCGATGTCAGAAAGTAGCAAAGCCTGAACATGAAGCAAGGTCGCTTTAAACGATTGAGTAATTGAACGATTAGGATTGCATTTAAATTTAACACCCACGTAGACTTTATATCTGGGCTAACCAAACAAACCAATAATTTCGCAATACACAAAAAGAAACAATATTTAACGATCATGTTTCCGTAAAAGGGAATAAGTCCTTTTTATTGTCACATCAATGTGGTAACATTGGAGTTGTATTGCCAGTACAAAATAGCTCCAGATGTCCCAACCTTCTTTCCCAATCTTTACATATTTAGCATAATAATGGGCGATTCTTCCCATATAATTGCTTAAGTAGCGATACTAAGATAATCAATAAAAGTCTTTAAATTCAAACTCCAGGTGTATGTCAGATACTATTAGTTTAATATTTCATTGACATTTGCTCGATTTATGAATTCTGTACCACTGCAAATATTTGGACGTCTTCATTCTAAGGCAAGTAACGCATATGGATACAGGTTGTTGCGAATGTTTATTTGGCGTAGGTTCATATAAATTCTGTTCATGTTCGAACTGTGAACAGGTATATCGTTTACAATCAAATTAACGCAGGTAATTTATCGTTATAAAAAATAAATCACATTGTATATGATAATTGCGTTTTTTAATCATTTTGTTACAAAAAGTATCACGACAACAATATTTTTTTCTAATAGAGCCACTAAAATGCGTTCTACAATTAGATAGGAATCAATTTAATTAAATGTGCCTTATCAAAATTGGTCGGCCATATTGTAAACACATTTTGACAGCGACAATGTCAAGTTTGGCGCGCATAATGGCGTGTCCATTGAAATACAAACGCGTAGTGTTTTGTTCTACCGTAATAGGTGACGTCTTGTTATGGAGTGAGTCATTTTAAACGAGAATACATGTGACCTTTGAAGGTTTTGTACGTATGCCTACATTAAAAGTTACATTTTTGGTGTTGTCATTGTACGTGACAATGATTCCGGATATTAAATATGTTAAAGCTGCTAATAAAGACATTGAAAATTTGTGGGTCTCAAAAATGTCAATGTCACGTCTAAGAAGTGTGTCATTTTTTTTATTAAATGCCAACGTTGCTTACAAATATGCTTGTCATGTTATTTTAGCGATCGAATAACTTTCGACTCTTGCACTCGATTGCGACCTACTCGTTGGTATTATATTGGTAGAGATTTTTACAATATGGCAGCTTTTCTAAACAAACGAGTAAAATACTCTAATCTATCATATTTTGAACTTAATAAAAAACTAACAAATATAGCTTATTATTATGAAAAGGCATGTTACGATACGCATTGTAACAATATTATTAAGAATTGTTAGCCAACAACAACCTTGGAAAACCCAGGAAATTATAGAGTCCTTTATATTCGGCGAATGCGCTCTATCTCCGTGACCAAGTTCATGTGTGGAATTATTTATTTTTAGCATTTCTTATAGCGCGATCAAAATTCAAGATGTTGCGCATCTCTTCGTATACGAGTAGCGGCAAAATTTCACAGAAGTCGCAAACGCCTTGAGTAACCTAATTGCAACTAACGGTACATAGTTTGAAAAAATAAAACAAAATCAGTGTCTTGCACACCAATGTATCTGCATTAATTAACTAAAACCCGTACACATAACACGCTATACAAATAACATTTATCCCACAAAACTTTCTGAGACGAAGATTTGCGTAATTTAAATACAAATATGAAAAAAATGATGTTTCGTTGGTAGATTTTAGTGATAAACAGCTGAACGTTTGATCATATTTTACTAATTAAAAATACTTACTCGGGCGTGACGATGAAGAATCCCCTGGATGTCTGGTAGATCTTGCGCTCCTGCATGAGTTGCGCCAGCGTGTCGTACACCACGCTCGCGTCCGGCGTCTGCATGGACGGGAACTTTACCGACAATGACGTGCGGATGCTCTCCAACGTCGCTGATTGACCCTACAACACAACAAATATGATTGTTGATAATAGGTTTTATCGACAAGATTTCTCAAATTTTAAAACAGGGCGATGTGCTGGATGAATGGAAATCCGTAAGTTCTGTCTCCTTCTTTGACCTATGGGTGTGATTATTACATGTTTACGTTGACTGGTTGTATGTACTTTGATCTTGTGAACATATAGTTGGTTAGTTTAACCTTAAATGCTGCTTATGTCAAGAAGTTTCAAGTGTTCTTTAGGAACAACTGAATGTCTCAAGGATTTTTAATTCCTCGAATAGAGCCCAACAATTTAACTATGCTTAAAAATATTCTTCAACGTACTTATTGCGTTTGTATTTGAATATGTAAATGTTGTTTTAGTATGTAAATTATAGAATTGTCCTTTGTAACCTTGCAGCTATCATTCACAACTTTTATCTTGACATGGATCATTTAGAATCTTATCAGATGAACGTAGATCTCCTTGAAAATCCGGATGTTTTATAAATAGCCTTCGATGACGTCAATCAAAATGTTTTGTATATTTAGGAATAGCTGTAGTATTTATTTTTTATATACATATTGTAAATAAGAAACACGGAATTTCGGTTAATTTTTAAATTCTGGGAATTTCCATGTAAAAATAATTATTTTATCAGGATTATATAAAGGTTCTATATTTTATAAAGGATCCATTTGCGCTTTTATTGTGCTTAGTAAAATGTTATGCGGGGCATAAATTACAGATTTTATACCATAATGTTTGATTTACTTTTAAAATATAGCAAAAACTTTACATTTTATACAATGCCTTTAAGTACCTATTTGCTTTTCGTGTTCAATAAAATAGTGAAATCGCGACTTAGCTTGTTTAATACCCTGATATAAATAGCACTTTTATTGCCAATGACAGTCACAATTTAATCGGTACGGGCTTAGTGATAAATTCTATGCTAAGGACGGAATAAATCAGCATAATGCTGTGACTGTGATCTTGTTACGGTCTCATTGTTTCGCAAACACGGCCTTTATCAAGAGTATTGTTATAGTTATTACAGACATATTCTTTATACAAACTCCCACGATGTTTTCTTAATGCTATGAAAACTAAATAGTTTTGGAGAAATTTAGAAATATCAATTATTTCAGGTTCATTATTTTCGAATGTCTGAATGTTCCATTCAGTTGGTATTTTTTTGTTGGCTTAGCAGATTTTAAATAGTTATGTATCGATTCGTTACGTTCCCCCGAGTGTCTTAGAGCCATTTCTTATTATTGGTATATATGTCCATCAGCTCACTATACGTCCCCACCGAGGGGCTGGGAGCCTACCCTAAGTCACGGGTGCCTAGGCCATAGTCAACCACGCAGGTCCAGTGCAGGTTGGTTGACTACACACATATCATTGAATTTCTTTTTCTAAGATATGTGCAGGTTGCATCACGATGTTTTCCTTCTCCGTACGAACGTCGGATAAATGTACATATGTAAATCGGAAATCAAAAAACACATCGGTACATGGCGGGATTCGAACCCAGAACCTGCAGATTACAAGTCAAGTGCGTGACCCCTGAGCCACCGACGCTCGGATCACTGAATAAATAAATATTTAATACAATAAATTTTAATGTAAACAAACAAACGCAGAGTACGTATTACGTATTCGAATTAAATCTCGATTGCTATCACTTCATGAAATGATAAAAGCCAGTGTTATGTAAAGTATTGTAACCCACGGCAGTATTTATCAGATGACATTTAATATTTGAAACTTGATAATGAATATTTTGTTTTATAATGAACGCCATATTTAATGGAGTTGGAGCTCTGATGCCATAAATCCGAGTTATAAATGGGTTCGAGATAACATTGAAACTGGTTGAAAGAGGATTCCATTGCTACGATGACATACTTATTGAAAGTGTTTTGCATTGTAAATGAAAAAGTGATTAGCTAAAGTTTGAATAGTAGTAAAAAGTACTAGTACTTAATAATGTATAGGATTAGTTTAGGAAACTAAAGATAATGACGCACTGGTCATTACATTAAGTAGCATGAAAGATAAAATACAAAAATCTAAAGAGAACTGGTTTGTATATCTATACTAACATTATAAAGCGGAAGAGTTTGTTTGTTTGTTTGTTTGTTTAAACGCGCTAATCTTAGGAACTACTGGTCCGATTTGAAAAAATCTTTTTTGATAGATAGTCCATTTATAGAGGAAAGCTTTAGGTTATATAACACTACGCTGCGACCAATTTTTTTTTAATTCCGCGCGGACGGAGTCGCGGGCGATAGCTATACAGATACTGAAAAATGTATTGAAACTGATTATAATTCCAAAGTTTGCAACAAAGAAAGCGCTGTAACGAGTATTAAGAAAACATAAATATTCAATGTCCTTCAAAATTGATTTCCAAAATATTTTATGCTAGGGTTAATAATGACGATCATGGAATTGAACCCCTTTTGTGTTTATTTTTCCAACGGTGAAAATGAACGTTTTGATGTTTTAATTGAATTTAATTTACATGTTTTATTTTATATGCGCCATTTTTAAACATTATTCAAACCGTTATTCAAAGATATTTGGCAAAATGGTTGACAAAAGTTAAAATAATAGATTTAAAATATTTTCCTATAGTTTAATAAAAAGATACATGAATACTCAACTAATCTAGAGCGATAAATATGTATAAAGGTGGTGATATTCATTTAGTACCACTGAAGTGTCTAAGTTTATCTCTCTGATGTCCATCAGAACCAAACCCTCGTACATTATATTAGTTTTTAAATTATATCTAACTGGTTTCCTGTTATGTCGAAGTAGACAAATGGTATTCAAAGTTGGTAAAAGATCGTACACCAGCCACTATCTCAACAGTCTTGCAACAGGTCGTGTCAATGAGGAGTTACAATTTGAATAAACGATAAGTACTACCCGTTCTGATTTATTTATCTCATAAAGACAACAGAGCGCTTGCATTCCGAGGGAAAGGTGCGTAGCAATAACAAATACCTGATCGGTGGGAACCTGACTCGTGCCATGGATATATGAACTTTATGTAGCTTGGATATCCATAGAAATGGTTTTAATTTAAAAACAAACAAAGGAAACATCGGATGTTTATATTTTTGTACGTGAATTAATGCACACACATATTTAGTAGGTTCATGTTGAACAATTGAAGACAATTTATGTCTGTATTTTATGAATTACTACGTATTTTTTGAGGAGATGGATTAAATTTTAAGATAAAATAAAGCTAACTAGTTTATGTCTTAATTCAATAATACAACCTAACAGAACCTAGCACACCCCTTTTTTTAAGCACATACAAGGCAGACTAAAGCCCTAAAAGGGATCCAATTTTTATCAAGTGTATTCTGGCGACTATTTCGTCATCTAAATTAAATGAATGTGAGAATATGTCTCATTTATCCCATACAGATCAAAACCGGAACAAAGGCTTTTGCAATAGAGCCGAGTCGATCGACCTTTAAAAACTGATTGTACCAAAACTGTAATACTATGATTAATAGAGTTGTCCTAGATATAAATTTGGCAAGATACTCGCAGTTGTTTGGTGACAAACCGGTTGATTTACCTCTACCTGTACGGCACAATAGTTGACCAGCGCGATATTAGATAGAGTACAAATTTGATACTCTTTGGAATATTTTCTGTTGAATTTTTGTTCAATAAAGTTATATGCAACAGATTCTTTCACGTCCGCGCGGAATTAAAAAAAATGCGGCCTATGTGTTCTTCCAGACTATATTCTATATGTATGCCAATTTTCATCGACATTCGTTGAGCCGTTCTGGAGATATCTAAAAACAAACATCCATCCATCCATCGACCTAAACATTCGCATTTGTAATTTTAGTAAGATGAAATATAAACGATAATGTACCTTGTCCACTGATACTATTTTTCGTCTTTGTAAATATGAATATTGGAAATCAAATATTACTTTGTAATTTGACCTTGGTAAAAATTATGTCTAGGATGTTACAGCTAAACGTTCTAACGATATACAAGTTCGGTTGTATTTCAATGTTACATCTAATCATATCCACTTTGTGCAATGATCGGATTATACAAGCGTGTCGCTTTTGTTACTACTTAAAATTCCTGCCCACATTTGGTATTTGGAGCCGGTCCCGTCCGGGCGGCATTCTATTGTGACAACGGTCTCGCGGCTCGTTTGGGCGCAGTTTCGCAACGCCTGTCATCAGATTTACGAGTGCACGCCTCTGGTATGCGATTATTAGATCGATTTGTTACAATGAATAATTGAAATCGTTTATAATTATAGTTACTCAGTTGTCGAGGTATTTCTTAAACGGCTTTTATGGTATTTGAATTGAGAAACAGGTTGGATTAGGAACAGATGGAAATAAAACATATTTAGTTTTAGTTATCCTAGAATAAGTCGGATATTGATCACAGAAGCTATAGCCAATAAAATCAAAATGTTTTACAATAACGGAAGGTTATAAAATTGGACGAACTCCACCGACGCTTGACCACGCTTTTATTTATGATTACGAAAAAATAAAATATGTTATTTAATATTATATAATGCCTTAATCCGTGTCTTAATTATTTCAATGAACGGACACATTTTATTGGATTTTCCTTGAACATTAAAGTTTTTCATAACATCACGATTGCTTCAATCAAAATAAACTTTAACGAATTATTGAAATGTCTTTACAATTTGGTACAGCAAAGTGTGTGGTCACGTTTTGAGCGCAACATCAAAATGTATATTTGAACAAAAAGCTATATATAAATTATTATAAATGGATATAAAAGTGACCTCAAAACATCGTTATGGCTGGATTATTTGATAAAACGACCACGACGCTAAGAATTTCTTGACCTGAGAACACATATTGAGGTTTAAGTGATCGTAGGAAGCGATTTAAATTTGGAGACTCAAGTTTCTATATTAAATAATAAATTCCAGCTTGAAACCTTCACGCGTTGAGAAAAAGGGTCTTGACAGACAAACGGACGGACAAGTGACCCTTTAAGGGTTACGTTTTTTTTCTATGAGGTACGGAACCCTAAAAATTAAAGAATAAACCTGCTGTCTTCGGGATTGAATCAAAAGTAAACTTAATATAGGTCGGTAACAACGGAAATCAGGTGTTTATTTAGACCTCTAGTTACATGTAATTTTCCTAAAGTATTAGCCTAGCAAATAATTTCCGTTAATGTTAATTTAATTAAGGCATTAAAGCTATTTTAATTTTACAATACAAAGGAATGTAAATACTCCGATCATCAAAGTAATTGAGATTCATCTTTTAATTTCATTTGAAATTGTTTCTCGCTAATAAATTGCACCAATCAAAACAAATATGCGCCGAGACAGGTTCGCAAAGTCCAAACCGGTATGTATTTTTATTTTTTAACATTTCATTGCCAAGAGTCATCATTCTGGTATTAGTAGGATTTGGGTCGTTAACATGCAAAAATCCAGTTATTTCGTGATAACGTATCTTATTTCCGCCCTTGTTTTTGAATTTTAACACAATTTACATCTGCATAATTTGTAGGACGTGTGATATTGCAATTTACTTACTAAGTTCAAGCCGCTAAGTAGGTAATTAGAATAAAGATGTTAAAGAACAAAAGAATGTTGATACCAAATGGGCATTTAAATTCTTCTAAGTTATCATCATCATCATCATATTCAGCTCTAATTCCACTGCTGAACGTAGGCTTCCCCCATCGATTGCCACAATGCCCAGTCCTGTGCCGCCCGCATCCAGTGCACTCCCGCAACCTTGACCAGGTCATCAGTCCATCGTGCGGGAGGCCTACCTACGTTGCATCGACCCGTCCGCTCTAGGGCTTTTCGGCCCCACCGGCCGTCCGTTCTGCGGGCAATGTGGCCGGCCCATCGCCACTTAAGGTTTGTAATTCTTCTAAGTTACGAAGTCTTACTAAAATTTCAGGAAGAGAGGAAATACTACCAAATAACCTATACTAGTCACAAGACATGACGCTTTTTAATAAAACTTACTAATAAATTATTACCTTCGAAAATGTAGCCTGATTTACTTACACAAGTGAGTATTTATGTCGTATTAATTAGCATGGTGGTATCAAAAGGATGTGATATATCAAACGTTAATTAAATACTTAATTTTCTGTTCACACGGGAAACACAATCTAGGAGAAAGACGTAAGTGTAACAAGAAATATTGTAACCTGCAATTGACTTTCACTAAAACGCAGTAACCGAGTAACATCCTCACCAGCTTACTATACGTCCCTGCTGAGGGGCCCGGAGTCTATCCTAACTTTTGAGTGACTAGGCCATAGTCAACCACGCTGCCCAAGTGCGAGTTGGTTGACTTTACACATATCTTTTAATTTCTTCACATATATTTGCAGGTTGCATCACGATGTTTTCCTTCATCGTCAGAACGTCCGAAAAATGTATATTTGTAATATAACATTGAAAAACACATATAAGGTACACGGCGGAATTAGAACCCAATACCTGTAGATGACGAATCAAGTGCTTAACCCCTGAGCCATCGACGCTCTCAAGTAACATGATCCAATGAAGTTATAAATGACACATCTCTGGTAATTCATAATTTTTTTAGGTCTTGTCTAAGTTTTGTCTAGACTTTATTAAGAAATTCTAAATAAGTAAATAAAAGCGATATCGTGGAAAGGTTTATTGCAGGTGAGGTCAGTGTAAAACCAGTAGGTAAGTTTACGAAGACCGTTCGTTTAATAGGTTTATTGTAACAAAATTCCATAATGTCACGATTTCTACACTTTATTACTTGGTTTTTTCCCTTAGCGTAATTTTACTGAGAATTTTATAAATTTACAATTTTAAATCTTAAGCTAAATAAAAAAAAATCTACAATATACGGTGTTGTAATGCAATTTAGTTGAATTCTTATTTTTATTCCTCTTTTTTTCGAGCAGACCGCTATCGAAATAAAACAATCTTAAAAACATCCGGATTTAGATTGTTTTGCACAAATAATTCAGATCGTTCAGATTAAATTATAATTTAATTAAGATAATCAAATACATCTCTTTGCTTCACTTGCGTTAGTAAAAAATGTGTCGAAAATTTTGGTGAAAGCAATGCTTTCTTAAAATTGTTATTGGGTATTAGATTTTTAAGGTACTCAGATTTATTTGAGTTTATGATAACTGTAGACTATTCTTTACTGAGGGACTTTCGTAACGCTTAATTAACAATTCTGAGTGCGGCAGTTAGTCAATAAGAGAGAAGAGGATATGATCATTCGTCAATGTTTTGTACTACAAATAAATAAAGCTCACATGTCTCGTTGAAAAATTCCCAAATGGACGGTTCGTGAAAAATTACCAAAATCCTTCCTTATTTTTGTAGTAGCGTTGGCAGTGAGCCAGAGCGGCGTTGACTCGTATTTATTTACTTTTTATCAGCCAAATAAAAATAAAACGGATTTATTTTCAGAACGGAAACGCTAAATGAACTTCATTCTGATTTTGGTTGCTTTGTTTTTTAATCAAACATTTGTAAGTGGCCATCATTTAAGGGTTTGTTTTTAATACTCCTAAATTATTATTACTTCATGTTAAAGTTTTCAGATACTGTCAATCTAAATCATGTTAAATGTGGAAGAATAACACATAAAAAAACATACAGACGAATTGAACCTTCTCCTTTTTGAAGTCGGCTATAAATATTTTTCCTGGACTAAAAACAAAAGCTTACGATGACTTTAAAACCAAAAAATATGGGTTTACTATCTTTCAGAGTGTATGTGAAATAACGTTATTTTATTAAAAGTTACAACAAAATTATTGTCCTAAGATTAAAGACAATCACAAGAGAAAACTTAACAATAGCAGCGTTGCTTATATAATAAGTTATAACTTGATAAAGTGTAACGAGGCATAGGACAGGCATTTAAAAAATGCTTGTCACGTGTCAGCACATGTCATATAGTAGTACAATGAAATATAATTCAAGTGAATAAAAAAAGTTACACAATGCAAGAAAGTACTGGAGAATTTCACTTCCTGACATAGTATATCAAGATAACGTCCATGCAACGAGACTAACGGATGGCATAAATATACAAGGGCTACTGAATACTATGTAAAGAAATATACTGTTACTAGCGGACCCGACAGACGATGTCTTGTCTACACATCTTTAATTTGAATAAATTAATATGAAGTTAATAATTTGAAGAAAATTATGAATCTAAACCATTCCCAGATCCCCTTGAACACACACAATAAATTTCATCAAAATCGGTCCAGTCGTTTGAGAGAAGTTCAGTGACATACACACTCACAGAAGAATTATATATATAAAGATATTTATGTGCAAACTTAGAAATAAATTAGTACAAATTATAAAAGAAGAATTACGTCCACTAAACGACGAAGAGCTTGTGGAAGAGCTATTAAATTTATAGTATATTGCAATTGCAAAATTAAAAAAAAACAGATGGGGGTGGGATTTCTAGTAACTAAGTTCAATAATAAATACAAATCTGATCTTGCTAATATTGAAAATTCGAATATTTAGATGGATGGATGGATGTTTGTTTGAAGGTATCTTTTGAACGGCTGAACGGATCTCGATGAAATTCTGCATACATATAGAACATAGTCTGAAAGAACACATAGGCTACTAACAATTTTTTTTAATCCGTGCGGATATTTCGCGGGCGACGGCTAGTTTTAAATATAACGGAATTTGTAGAGAACTAATTTCAGAAGTTGTAAGTCTATACCTTGAGAGATCTTTGGGATGTTGTTTGTTGTTCATACCTGAGACGTGAGGTCCATAATGCAATCACATAGCGCCTCGGGCAGCGGCGTGAATTGCCCCTGGTACGCCGGCGTCACAATGCAGTCCTCGATGTCACCTGAAAATAATAAAAACATGGTAAAATTTCTTGTACGAAATTACTTTACGACAATAGTCGAATGGCGGGATCGAACTCTCGAGCAGGTGATCGGCAATCCGTACCGTTAATCATTAGGCTATTGGCGCTTATGAGAAATTAATATTTTTCTAAATTTCATTGGTATGTACTTTTAGACATTATTAGTTAAAATCCTTTGGCGCAAATGACGCGCTTTTGTTACCAAGTCAATTGTCAGAAATAGTAAGGGGAAATAAACGTCGACATTTCAGTAAGGCTAGTGTTGCCCCAGTACACCGGCACCGTGTCGGATTTTCTTCCTAACAGTACTTTACACACGAAAATATATCAAATAAGTAATACAACTTCACAATTTAATACACCGAGTATGTTGCACCGTACTAAATATAAATTATTCATGGCTGCATTAAACTCATCCGGTCCTCTCACTAACTGTATTATCTCCTACAGGATTACCAGTGATATACAATGTAGGTGTGTTAAACTAAAGTGCCGTATCGCGTGAATCCGAATGCTCGTCGGATCCGGGGAATTACCGGCGCACCATAAATTGTGTCCGCACAATGCGCGACCCGCGGGGACAGGTCTGTTGGCGAGATGCCAAATTGTTTGCGTCCGAACTATAAGCTTAGAGCGATTTTGTCTTGCCCATTAAATACGCATCATTATCACCCAATAGATGTTTACTGCTGGACGTATAACCTAATGAATCTACGTAATACGTAACTAAATGTAGCCTTATAAATCAATGGACTTGTCATGATGTCAATAAACGATAAAGCTTTCATGAAACTTAGAGAGGTATGTAATTAACTCTAAAAGCTGACAGCCGTTAAAGCATTTAATGTTAAGGCAATTCTAACTCAAATAATTATCGTTAAACGATAAACAGAGTTTTCAACACTAAGTCAATTGCAAGTTGATAGCTATGTGAATTTTTATTATGCAATATTTTATATCTTGCCCATTGCATTAGAAGGCGAGTGTTTTATTGAAGACAAGCTGTCGCCTGCGACTCCGTCCGTGCAGAATTAAAAAACTATTGATCGCAGCGTAATGTTATATTACCTAAAGCCTTCCTCTATAAATGGACTATCCAACAAAAAAATAATTTTTCAAATCGGACCAGTAGTTCCTGAGATTAGCGCGTTTAAACAAACAAACTCTTCCGCTTTATAATATTAGTATAGATAGAGTACATTGTTTTTCCTCTCTGTCATACAATAAAAACAATCTACATTTCAACGCTTGTCGCTTATGACACGATGTAATCCTATCATCGCGGATAAAGGCTTTTGTAAATGTACAAAAACATATAGGATTAATGCCAAAAAACTTTAAAGCAATAAATTATGAGAAACTTTTGTATTGTCCATTTTTAACCGTGTCTAATATTATTCATAAATATAGCAAATATTTAACTGTTTCTAAATATTGAAACTTTGTAGTACTATTTATTGTTGAATGAACTAATTGTAATTAAACAGTCGATAAAACTACCAGAATGGTCTAAGTCATAAGAAAGAATTTCACTTTTTCAACAAGTATGTCAAAAGAACGGCATTATGCTATGTTAAAATTAATCTCATAAATGCCAGACAGTTGTATGGCTGTAGTCTAAGTTTGTATGCAATAAAACAATTGACATACGGGTTGTCGCAAGCAAATTGTGCGTGCAAATCGCTTGTTTATCTTACTCTGTTAAGCAAACAACCAAGTATTAATGGTCTCTCATTTCCTAGTACACTGATGTATGAATTATGTTTAAGCCAATAGATGAATATTTCATATTTGCTTTTATATTTAACAAGATTTTATTCAACTTGTATTCATGGTTATTAATTTACATCAATCGCATTTCTGTAAAGTCACAAATAATTCAATAAGACCATGACACGTCAGGGTTGAATCGGCCATGAAGCTATTTATATTTTTTTGCAAAATGCTGAAATATGAAATTTAATTAAAATTGTATTTCATAGTTTGACGCACCGAGGCTTGGCGACCTTCCAGATAAATGTCTTTTGCTCGATAATTGAGTAATGAGTGACAATTGCCGGTTATTTTGGAAAGACTTAAATAACTAGAAATAAAAAATAATTTCAATTTTCACAAGAAATTATTTTTTATTTTCTTCAAATTAAAGTAATACGAGAGACATTGTACATCTCGTTACAAAACGTCATTCTAAAACAATAGTTCCTTCATTGATTCTCAGATAACATAAATTGGTTTCGTGCTGGTATCAATTGAATAAGTTCAAACATTTGGAACCTTTTTGGTAACCATTTAAACATGACCTTAATCAACACATTTTATGGTTGCAGACAATCATTACGTCCAACCAGATGTTTTTACCTCATAAATTACTTGTACATGCCAGTCAAAACGTGTATTATAAACATCATGTGGTGGTTTCGATAACAATTTGGATTCATAAAATGGACATCAAGCCTTATTATGTGCCAAATTTCCATCGATACGATTTCGATTAAATCGTTATTTACCTTTGATGCAAGGAATTACAGCGTTTTAGTACGTATTTATATATTTTTTTTAAAATGATACTATACCTAAAATGGAATAACAATAGTGTCAATAATATCTAAATTAAAAATCGTTTTAAAATCCTAGCTTCGTTTATAGCCATGTGGATTTAATTCTTTAGTGATAATAAGTAGTCAATTATATAATATCGATAATATAAAACAATTTGAAGAATTTAAATTATAAACTTGCTGGAAAATAATCAAACAGTGGGTGTTGAAGGCGCTGAATGCCATACTTACAGTGCGTATGGAGTGGGCTTTGCGAAGGTTACGCAATGCAACACCAGGCGGCGCTAATTACGGTCCTGTCGCATCTTGATAATCCCATTTACAAGAAACATGTTTACTTATTAATTCAAAATACGTGTGAATGAGGAAATTTCTTGCTAATTATCTTGCTAATATTATTATATAAATTTGAATGTTTAGATGGATGTTGGTTAGAAGGTACCTCTTGAGCGGCTAAATTGGATCTGTTTGGCATAGATGTAGAACATAATCTGAAAGCTACTAATTATGTTTTATTTTGAATTTCGCGAGGACGGATTCGGGGCGACCACTAGTATTAAATAAATATGTAGGAATATCACTTGATAATTTAATTATTGTCCCGTTAAAAGAGTGTTTCTTTTTTATTGCTTTTATTTAAGAAGAACGTTTAGGGATTAAAATATTTTTTAAGTTTTATTATGTTTCAAAGATGGTTTTGCACATTTAATAAATAGTATTAAACGTTAGAATTATTTATTATCTTTACGAAATTTCAAAGTTGCATAAGAATCAATTAGTTATTGACTTTTCTATCATACTATATCTTAGAGGTGAAAACATAATTGCATTAAGTTTATTTATCGAGGATAATGTGGTATTTATCGATTACGTAGCCCACTTACTTGTGATTTATGAACTTTTAGTCCTCGTTATATAATACGAAATATTTAGACCGGCTTTAAATATCGTCATGTCATATTAATTTGTTAAAAAATGTTTGCTTAACTAACCTTTGTTTCTGATATTTAGGATTACATGGTCGTGTGAATTATATTAAACTATCTATATCTTACATTATACATGCGAATATTTAGATGGATGGATCGATGTATAAAGGTATCTCCATAACGGTTGTATGAATCCCGCGGAAATTTGGCATAGATGTAGAACATAGCCTTGAAGAACACATAGGCTACTAATAAAGTTTTTTAAATTGCGCGCCGAAGGAGTCTTGGGCGGCAGCAAGTATAATATAATTATCGCTATAGCTAATTCATGTATCGTCTTATCATTAGTAATCATTCTTTGATATTTTAGTACGGTTAATACATAACAGATGATTTAAAATTTTAAAAATATCAGCAATAGCAACACCATTGAACGTAACAATTTTAATTAAACGAGATAAATAGAGATTTTTTTCAGAGGGGACGCGGTAGTTATGTGGGATTCTCTTCCGGATGGGTAGCATACCCACTAAACCCCTCTGTTCTTCCTACGCATCATGGCGAGGCCACGGGCACGCTTGCGCTTTCGTCCGCGACCTCGCCTGCGTCAGCTGCCGAAACTACTCCCGAATGGGGATACCTAGAGATAAATAGAGCTGTAATTTCTATATTATACGCTGCAATTAATATTTCAATGTGGTCAAGACTATAAAAGGTTATTTATAGTTTACCATAATTTTATTAATACTAAATTACTGTAACTACTGATCACGAGTATTTACGAACATTCTACACAATTCTGTAATAACTTAAGTATACAGTTAACGACTGTTGGATTCCCTTACTTGAAGAATGCCATGTGCGTAGTCTACATAATCATAAATATCTTAATTTACAATCGGCCTTTAGTAAAAGTAATAAATGGCAAATTTAATGCGAGTCCTTTACGTTGCCGCACTGACTCACTGACTTCCAATTGCATAGCTTATTACGGTATATGGTAAGAATTGATTTAATACATCAATTTATAATTTAAAGGACATGTAAATCAGTATCGCGTCATGTAAATTATTAATTATTTTTGAATGAACGAATTCAAAAGAAAATTGCACCTAACTCTAAGTTTCCACTACCAAAATATAATTATTATATTTTCCTAAAAAAAAGTTATAAATCAATAATTTCCATAAGAAATCAATATAAAGATTTCAAATATAAATACATAAGGAAAAATGATAATATCTTTAATTTGCAATTGCATAATACAGTTACATCTTTAAAAAAAATTCTGTATCCACATAATTGCAACATTTTCTTATTATCGGAGATAATTTTTTAAAAAACATTTAAGATTTGTTTGTTTGCATTGAATAAGTTCGGAAACTACTGAACCAAACTGGAAAATTCTTTCACTGTTACTGCTACACTATCACTAGGCATAGGCTATTTTAATTACTAGATTTTTTCATTACGCGGACAAAGACGCGGGCAA